GGTTGGGCTTCCCGAAATTTTTTAAAAATCACTTATTACCCTAAATAAGCAATGCAAAACGGATACTTAGTCAATTGATTTTAATCATTTTCTAAGATTTTATATTTTATTTTCATCGATTGTGCTCGCGTACAAGTTATTTAGAAGTAATCTTTATTCTGTTGATTCATACAAGTTGAATATGCTTTTATGCTAAAAAATTTCCCCTCTTTTTCATTGAACATTTTATCTAAATCATTAATTTGGTGAGCTTGGTTGATTATAAATTTTGAGTTAAATGTCTCAATTATATATATCAGTTTAACAAGGCTTTATATTAGTATATATATACTGTTTAATCATTATGAAACGAAGTTGGTTGTCCAATAAAATAATAGATATCTATAATTGTTATATTATATTTTAATTTTTATCCTTCTACAGCTGTGTCTTTCTACAAATATATTTTGATCAAATAAAAATTAGTATCGTTGCTTTGTAATCATGATGTAGTGATATAAAACAATTTCTAAGTATGTACTTTCTTTATAATATGTATGCATGTATGTAAATACACACACATATACATATGCGTGTATTATTTTATGTTTTTGTTTCTTCCCATTATACCAATTTATATACAAGTTCTTTACCTATTCAATTATTTGTTTTTTTTTCCGAAGAAATTGATTAGGATTTGAGTATTTTGATTGTTTTCCACATGGTTAAAGCCTACAAGTTTTGAGTCTAAGGTAAGAAGGAGAAGAAGGAAAAGAAGGAAAAGAAGGAGAAGAAGAAAGATGGAGAAGGAGATGATGGTTAAACTGATGATGAAAAAGATAGGTGAAAAAGGAATAAGAGGAGAGCATGTGTTTTGTAGAAATGAATAGTGAGCAAAAGAATATATTCTCTTTTTTTGCCCAAATTGATTTATTTGTTATTTTAATGATAGCTTTAAATGATACATCTTTAAGAACAACTTATTATTGTAATTACTAAATTGGTAATTTTCGAATTACTTAAATTTTATCTATAAATTTTAATTGATGTATAAAGTTAAATACTTTTGCTTTATCAATTTGATTATTTGGATTGAAAACTATTAACGAAAATTGTTTCATTTTGAATAATATATTTTTAATATTTTACATTCCGTATTTTAATAAATTATCTATGAATTATATTGCTTTCATGGATTCAATCATATTGCAAATAGTATTAAACAATTTTATTTAAATTAAGATATACATGTATATGTGTTATGTGAGTAAATGAATTTTTTACAACTTTTAATTTCAGTTTGAATTCTTTTAGCTATAAAATTTCTTCTTAAAGACCATTTTTTGGGGGGTTTTTTTTTCCTTTTAATCCTTTTTAAACAATTGTTAAAACAAAAGAGGATCTCACTTTTATTAATTATAATTTAAGATAATAACAAAAGATTCACAAGTGGGCTTCTTTTTTTCTTTATCTATATGTCATAATAAATTTTAGTATTTACTATCAAATATTAACATTTACTCAACTAATATTAGTTAATACATGTTGAACATCAAGTTTGCACATATACCTATAAAATTGTTTATTTTAGAGGGAATCTTTTTTCTTAATCTTGCACATTTTAATGGATTTATTATTTGCTTATGTTAGTTTGTTATTACAAATGTCAATCATTTTTCTCATAATTTTTCTAAACATAGATACTTTTATATGTCTACAAAAACAATCATTCATTCTAATCTATATCATGTCTTTATATAATATTCCAATTTATCATCTTTTTTTTCTTAATGCTTATTTATTTAATTCATGTTATTCTCCTTGTTGTTCAAATACAAAACCAAAATCATTTTTATCAAACAATTATCCAAATTTTGTATTTTTCTTTATTGTTTTAACTTAATTTTGTTATCCTACTTGTGTATTTTAAGTTGTTGTTGTCATCCTGCTTTTGCATACGTGTTGCTACAAGTTCTTAATAATTTCTCTCATTACATGTCAGTATTTTCTAACTTTTAAAAAAACTGTGCATAACATTTATAACTAATTGATTAGCAAATATTATATTATTTGAAGATTCGTTGCATTCTTAGAATTTAAATGTTATTAATAATGTGAAATATTATTTATATATATATATATATTCTTTCTAGACATCAACCTATTTTTGGGAAATTGAAATCTTCGTTCATGATGTTGAAGAGAACTAGAAATACCACGAAAAAACAAATCATGCAGGAACCTCATAATCTCATCATTTCAAATGATATACAAGTCCCAAATAAAATGTTTATCATATTGATGATAAACATCCAAGTGAGAAAATTCATATCACCAACCATCAAAACATTTCTCAAGCTGATAACAAAAGATAAAAATGTGTTGGAAATACATCATCTATCAATGTGAATACAATTGAAACAACAACATATGAAATTGAATTTCATCATTTTAATCAAATGAGTAAAGGTTAAGCGATCTTTCAAAGAAATAGGCAAGGTGGGTGTTTCCCTTTGCTCCAAATTTTTCTACTAAACTCGAACTACATTGTTCTATTACTAATAACCTGCATTTATGTTTTCTATTCTCTCCATTCTACATTTTTCCCCTCTATAGGAATAATTCAAGAATATGCGGATTTTGGAGAGAAGAATCATAAGTCCATTTATTGTGGTACACTTTTTTGGTTAAAAGAATCCATTAAACAAAGATCAAAAAACAATGAGCCTCTCTTTACTCTTTGTTGCCAACAAGAAAAAATTAAACTTTAAAGTCCAAAACCAACACCCTGTTTTTTAGAAAATTTGTTTGATCCTAATAAAGGGCAAAAAAGTGTATTATTCAGAGAAAATATTAGGGTTTACAATTCTATGTTTTCATTTACTTCAATGGGAGTCAAAGTTGATAAATCAATTAACTATGGATCAACCCCTTATATTTTCAAAATCAGTGGTCAAGCTCATCATTTAATGGGTTCTTTACTACCTCCTGAAGGTCAATGTCCTAAATTTGCCCAGCCTTATATATATGCTACCCATAATGAGGTTATGAATCACCTTGATGCAGTTAATTGTAATAAAAAAATGAAAAGCTTGATCAAAACATTGTGCAAGGTTTGATTCAAATGTTTGATCAAACAAATGAATTGGTTCAACTTTTTCGAACAATTATATATAAATTTAAAGAAGGCTCGCTTCCTCCTGTAAAAATCACATTGTTAGGCAGGCAATCTAATGATAGCAAACAATATGAACAACCAACATGTGATGAAATTGGTGGTTTAAAGTGGGAGATATAGGCATTTTTTTTTTATTCAAATAGAGATATTGTAATAGAATTTAAAAATGGAGAGTTAAAACGTGTGACAAAATTACATCCAAAATTCATGTCTTTACAATATCCTCTTCTTTTTCCTTTTGGTGAAGATGGGTATACACCTAATTTAAAATGGTATTATACAAGCCATGAATCTAAACGAAGAAGAATTCCTATGAGAGCTTTTATAGCTTATCAAATACAAGAAAGAGTGTTTCAATTAGATGCATTATTAAAATGTGGAAGATTGTTCCAACAATTTTTATTAGACGCTTATGCAACACTTAAAGAAGATCGATTAGAATATATTAGGAAAAATCAAAAACAAAATTAAGAAGTGAGGTTTATAAAGGCATTTATGATGCAATTTCAAAGGGTGATAATGATGCTAATAACATAGGTCGAAGAGTGATATTGCCTAGCTCATTACTGGAAGTGCTAGATACATGCTTAACAATTATCAAGATAATGTGGCAATTTGTAGACAATATGGAAATCCTGATTTATGTATAACTTTCACTTGCAATGTCAAATGGCCTGAAATTGTAAGAGAGTTTAATACAAAACATGGATACAAACCAGAAGATTTGCCTGATATAGTTTCAAGATTATTTAAAATAAAACTTGATGATATGAAGTAGGTAAATTTTAAAAACACAACATTTATACTACTCTTCATTTTTATCATTTTATTAAATGATAAAACTAACTAAGAATTTTTTCCCTTTTCTCACCCAATCAACAACAGATGTTTGTACTGTCGAATTCCAAAAAAGAGGATTGCCACATGCTCACATGTTGATCAGGTTGAAACGAAATTATAAATGTTATTCAACAGTTAATATAGATTCTATCAGTTCTATTGAATTACCAAACAAAACTATAGATGAATTACCAAACAAAACTATAGATTATGCTCTTTATGATATTGCTGCTCAATTTATGATCCATGGTCCATGACAAATAAATCCTAATTTTCCATGCATGCAAGAAGGCAAAGTGTTCTAAATCTTTTCCCAAACAATATAAAAGCAAAATAACTTTTGAAACAAATGGTTACCTTGTATATAGACGTCGTGACGCCCCAACAAAATTTGTGATAAAAAACGGAATACAAATTGATAACAGTTTTGTAATACCTTACAATTCTAAATTACTGCTTAGATACAACGCTCACATGAATGTTGAATCATGTTGCCAATCAATGCTTATAAAATATCTTTTCAAATATGTTGACGCAGAAAAATGGTTCGGCACTTTCCCGTGCAACTTAGTGATTAAGTCTCTTCGGTATCTGGTGTCCTCGGTAGGGTGTGCGATCTGTAAGATAGCAAACACACGGTAAGTCCTAGGGCACCGGTGTGGTACCGGCCGAAGGCTCTCCGATGCTTAAGTAAGTACAGATTTAGTAAGTTTGAACTGCAGATCAATAGGCAGTATGCCGTAAGTTCTGATTGATTACCTTCAAGCTGGGATGGTTGTCCTCTTTTATAGGCCTTGGGAGGTGTGCAATTTGTTTAGAGTTTCGATGTGGGACTCTGGGCGTCAGTTGTGAGACTGCCACGCGTCAAAGGGGGCGAGGTTGCCCTAACGTTGCGATCGGTAGGTTTTGTACCGAAGATGGGTGCCGAAGGCACTCCATGGCCCTAGTCTAGCCCATGTGTTCATCGTTCATTGGCTGTTCATTTTGGCTGTTCATTTTGGTAATGTTCAGGGCTGCCGATCGTGGCCACTTTGTCAGCTGGGTACCGACTTCGCAGAAGTCGTGGAGGAATCGGCGGGTGCTTCTCTCGGGCGACTGGGAGTCGCCTTCGGGACAGCCTGTCCGATTTCGTATTCCCACAACCTTCCAAATAGCTTGTAAGACCACGTGCCGTTCGATACCTTCTATGGGTTCCTCATTTTACCGTAAGTGATCCTTCATGTATGTTCCTCTTGTAGGTAAGTTGAAGCAGCCGATCGCAACGCAGGCCGAGATCCAGCAAGTGGAGAGAGTGAGGAGGAAAGTCCATGCCGAGGAGAGGGTGTATCCGCAGTTCCTCTTCACCACCAATCTGATTCGTGCCCAGCTGGTCGATCCTGCCGAGAGTAAGTATACTTTGTAATTTACAAATTGTTTCTTTTCTTCTTTTGCGGGTCTTACCGAACCCTCTTTTCGCAGTGACGGAGGAGAGGAGAGCTGCCGAGGCTAAGAGGATGAACGAGTCCTCCAAGCGCCGTCTCATGATGGGCTTCCAGGGGAAGAAGAAGAAAAACCAGCCGCAGGGCTCGGCATCGGTAGACCCGGAGGACCAGACTCTGGCTAGCCGTCTCCGTCAACTCAACGCCGATTCGGCGCCGGCCGGGGCGGCAGCGGTCGGCCCTTCTCCTCGCCGAGGCGCCACTACCGAAGGGACTTCCTCTCGAGCTGCCGGCAAATGGCCTTTTACCGTCGACCTAGATGTCGAACCGGCCCCAAAACGCAGACGGCAGGCCGAGCCGACTCGGGCCGTCTTCGCTGCTGACAACGACGAGGAGCCTGCCGATCCCGTCACCCTGGCCTGTCCGCCGAAGATGGTTCAGTTTGCGAACCATATGATCCTTGGTTCACAAATGGAGCTGAACGAGATCGAGGAGCTGCCGAAGAAGCTCCTTCGAGAGGAGGCGGGTCGCGCCTTCCGTCTTCAAGCATCGGTAAGTCCCGAGCACTTCCAGGTCCAGCCTACCGATCGTTTTTTTTTACTTTGGCTGACGTGCCCTTTGTTCTGCAGGCTTCGATGGACATGTGGCTTTGCATGAAGCGGGCCATCAACGCTGCTGAGAAGGCGAAGAAGGCCTATGAAGACGGCAGGGCCAGGGTTGCCGAGGCTGGCAAGGCTATCCAGGACCATGCGAACCTGGCGAAGGATTTGCAGGCTGCCGAACGGCAGGTCAGGGTATATGAGTCCAAGTTCGCGGATCTGTCGTCAACCCTGGAGTCGGCACAGCTATCGGCAAAAGAGGCTCTGGAGGCGAAGGAAGCCGTTGAGGTGGCTCTGGAGGAGTCGGAGCGGGCCAAAGCGTCGGAGATTGAGGCTGCTGTCCAGGAGGCCATTTAGAAGTATCGCTACTCTCCCGATTTCTCCACCTTGCTTGACAATGAGGTGGGCTCGGAGATGGTGGATCTCATCTACCGATTCAAGCGGTACAATCTTGGGACGAAGCTCAACTTGAACTTCATTGCCGATCCTCCTCCCCTTCCCGAAGGCGTTACAGAAGAAATGATTGAGGAGTACGAGGGGGAAGACGCTCCGGAGGAGCCTGAAGCCACTGGTGCCGAAGGGGCGGATGCCGAGGGCCCTATAAAGGTCAATAAGGTCCACGAAGTTGTCCCTTAATCGGTAGGATAATGGCGATGCCAAAATGTGTAGTTTACTGCGACCGATGGTCCCTACCGTATCATTTTTTTTTGAACAAAAAATGGAGAGTTCGAAAGGTACAACAAAGGTTCTGAAAATATGAGCCGAAGGCCCTTTCATTGATAAACTGCCGAAGGCAAGAGTACAATTTGGAGTGCGTTTTACAGTTTAGAACCCGCCGTTGGCTAGGAAACGTTACAATGCCGAAGGCTGTGCTTGTAGAGATGCCAAAGGCTTTTAGGACTCCTTCGTGACCCTGCCGTAGGCCAGGTGACTTCATTTGAAATAGTACTTCAAATGCTCTACATTCCAAGGATGACCGAGGGTCTTTCCGTTGGAGTCTCTGAGTCGATAAGTGGGCTTTGACCCTGGTGAGTGCCGTTCGCCCTATGATGACGTTGTATGCCGTTGGGCAATCGACAATGAGGAATTGGTCGTAGGTCATTGTTTTCCTGGGGGCGACGCCGAAGGCGATGGGCAAACTGATGCTACCAACTGGTTGGACCAGATCTCCAGAAAAACTGAGTAAAGGCGTAATTTGCCGATTGATCATGCTGTCGGCAATCCCCAGTCCCTTGAACGCATCGGCAAAAATCACATTCACCGAGCTTTCGGTGTCAATCAGCACCCGACCCACATCGTAATTGGCGATCTCGGCCCGAATGATCATTGGGTCGTCGTGGGGGTAGATAATCCCCTCCTCCTCCTCTTCACAAAACGTGATGGGCTCTCATCCCACCTTCGGCAACTTTCGGCACCGATCGTCCTCTATGCCGAAGACCTGAGGGCAGTGGGCGGCACGCACATACTGCTTCATCGAACGGTTAGATGGTCCTGCCAGAGTGGGGCCGCCGCTGATCGTGTTGATCATGTTGATCTGCCGATTCGCATTCGGTGCCGGGGCCTGCGGTGGCCTCGCGAGGTACTGATCCAACTTTCCTTCCCGAATCAAACGCTCGACAATTTTTCTCAGACTAATGCAGTCTTCGGTATTGTGGCTGTTCTGCTGGTGGTATCGGCAGAATTTGCCAGTGTCCCGATTATCCTGCCGACCGGGCTTTCGGTTGGTTGGCTTTGGGATCTGGTCGTGTTCGTTCATTAGAACGGTCTCGTAGGTTGTGTTCAGCAGGGTGAAGACTTCCTGAGCACGGTCGTGATTCGGTAGGGGCGCCCAGTGGTCGCTACGACCTTTCTTTGAGTTTCCGTGACGTCTGTCACGGTCGTCCTTCCGTTTGTGTCCTGCCGACGAGTCGTCGGTCCGACCCGGATAACTTTTGGTTGCCGACTCCTCCTTCCGAGCCGAATGCCCGGGTTTAGAATTGAAGTATTCGGCCTTCGCATGGACTGCCGCCTGCTTCATTAACTCGTCGTATGTGCGCCAGTTGCTACTGTGCACGAGGTACCGGAAGTGAGAGGACCGTAGGCCGCTCTTGAAGGCACCGTAGGCTGCCCTATCGTCCGTTTCGGGACACCTTGAGTACTCGTGACTGAAGCGCACTACGTATTCCCGTAAGGGTTCGTCCTCCCTCTACCGTATCGTGTATAGATCGTCGGTAGAGTACAAACAGTCCGTCTGGATCATGAAATGGTTGAGGAAAATCTGCTTCAGCTCGTCAAAGGAGTCTACCGTCCCTGGTTCGAGACGGTAGAACCAGTTCAGTGCAGCCCCGGTAAGGGACGATGGAAACAGTAGGCATTGCCCCTCGTCGCTGAGGCCCTTACACCCAACTGCCGATTGGAAGGAGTAAAGGTGCGTCAAAGGGTCCTCCACACCGGCTGCACCTCCCTGTCCGGTCTGGACTTCTTGATGCGCTCAATAAATGGTCCTGGCCGAAGTTTTCCCCAATCAGGGACCTGGGACCGGGTTCGGTCATCCTCCATCTTCTGGATTCTTTGGAAGAGTAGGCGGATGGCTGGGTCTCGGCTTGGGACGCCCTCGGAATCAAAGTCTTCGAAAATTCTTCTCGGACTTGGTGGTCTTGCCTTTGAGTACTCCGGGGGAGCTTCCGAACGGTAGCTTGATTTGGTGCCCCCGGTGGGTATGTACTCATCATCGGACTCCAGCGCTGAATCCAAACCCTGAACCCTCCGAAGGGGCGATTTATCCCCCAGGACCCTCATCCGGGAGTCCCTCAAGCTGGCGTTTACTCCGATTGGGGACCTATGCCGTTCGGCATCCTTCTTGTCGTTGATCCGATGACGACAATCGGTGTACACCTTCTTCGGTATGTGAGGTTGGCCTGGGGAGCCGGAACTACCAGCTGTTTGGAGGGCGCAGGCGTTGCCTTTCCCCCCTGCTTTCCCTTCCTCTGCCGACCGGGGGTTTGCTGACTCTGGGAGGATTCGGTGGCCTGAATGTTTTGTGTTTCCTGCTGATTAAGCAACCGTTGGGTTTCGTCTACCTTGGACGAAAGGAGATTATTACGTTCTTGGAGTTTAGCCATCTCCCTCCGAAGGGAGGTCATTTGAGCTAGAAGCTCCGCTTCGACCGTGGTCTGAAGCGCAGGAGGATTACCGAATGGGGTGCTAGGGTGCAGCACGGGGCTTGCTCCACTTGGCATACCGTACGGTAATCCATCCTCTGATAGGAACTGTGGTCCTGAAGTGGTTCCCCTTTGTTTTGTTTAGGAATTGTAGGTTGATTTTTATCGTTTCCCACAGACGGCGCCAAACTGTTGACGCAGAAAAATGGTTCGGCACTTTCCCGCGCAACTTAGTGATTAAGTCTCTTCGGTATCTGGTGTCCTCGGTAGGGTGTGCGATCTGTAAGATAGCAAACACACGGTAAGTCCTAGGGCACCGGTGTGGTACCGGTAGAAGGCTCTCCGATGCTTAAGTAAGTACGGATTTAGTAAGTTTGAACTGCAGATCAATAGGCAGTATGCCGTAAGTTCTGATTGATTACCTTCAAGCTGGGATGGTTGTCCTCTTTTATAGGCCTTGGGAGGTGTGCAATTTGTTTAGAGTTTCGATGTGGGACTCTGGGCGTCAGTTGTGAGACTGCCACGCGTCAAAGGGGGCGAGGTTGCCCTAATGTTGCGATCGGTAGGTTTTGTACTGAAGGTGGGTGCCGAAGGCACTCTATGGCCCTGGTCTAGCCCACGTGTTCTGTGAAGACCCGTATTTTAAAATATATAAATATATATTGGTTATATTTTTAATTATCTTGGTACATAAATGTAAACATTGTTGTTATAATTTTTTTACTAATTATTATACTACTACAATAATAACTTATATATATATATATATAATTGTTTTGTTTTAGGTGTTAACTTTATCTCTTCCTTGCCGACCATGTTGAAGTGGCCTAGATAAATTGTACAAACACACTTTAAGACTCCAAGTGTCAATCTATTGAGATGACTAAGCCTTATTTAGCATGAGGTGTTGGCAAGTTGATAAATAGCTATCCTAAACTTGGAGATCAAGTTCACACGTGGTCATCACCTCTCCACCAATTAGAACAATTTGAAACCTCTTGAGTTTTACTATAAATAGGACACTTCCTTTGTTTTTTCGAAAAGCATTTTTACCTGCATGAAAGTTCTTACAAAGAGAGAAGAAAAAACGTAGAGGGAGAGAAGAAAAAAAACGTAGAGGGAGAGAGAGCAGTAAGGAAATTCTTGGAGGAGGTACTTAGCTTGGGTTTTCATAATTTGGAGCTAGCTTTGGAGTTAAGGTAGGGGTTTCTTGGGGGGCCTTTTTCAGAGATTGATTTAATTAAATTTCGTGAGCATAATATTATACATGGTACTGTTTGATTTACGTACTCTTAACTGTTTGAACAATGTGGGCATGATTATATGTACATTGGTGATATTTAAATGATTACATTGTTTTTATGAGATATGTGAACTATATAATGTCATGGAAATTATTTGGAGTTCTTGGGTTGAGAAAATAATGGTGGAAAAAGAGGGTAATGGGAATGGTCTTTTGTGTAGTTGAGTCTAACTCTTGGCAGGTACCAGGTCTCAGGGATCCCACAGTGCACATGGTTTTTATTGGGTGATTCGGGACTGGCGAAAGGGAGTTAGACAAGATGACTAACAAAAGGGGGAATTATGGATGATTAAAATGGGTGTTAGTTCATATAAATGGGCATTCGGGACCAAGTGGTATAAGCACGGTATGGGACGTGCAGGTCTGCTTGTCCAGTTATATGAATTAACGGGATTAGATGAAGAGCATTCATGCATTGTTACTAATAATGTGAAATTTGGCTGCTTGATTATTTGTCACTTAATTTAATTATGTCAATTTATAGTAAAAAGGTTTATGTCCCTACTGAGCTGTGGTTTCGCTCACCCCCTAATAGATTTTGCAGGTACCGAACCTGAAATCTAGAGCTTGTGATGATTTTTGGCATGTCTATAGAATGTAACATAGCTTGTGGTTGAATAATGAGCTACTCTTTAAGTGAACTCTCGAGTAGTTCTAACTTGTAAAATAATGTAAAATTCTTATGGTTTCAAACGTTATCGTTTCCGCGTTTCTGCTGAATATTTTATGTGAAATATATCTATTTTATTTATTTAAATGTCTTCTTCACATTTTAGTTATAGTTTGTATTCAATTCTATAATTAAGTTGTGAATCACATCGTAACCCAAGGTTTTGTAAATCCGAGGGTTGGGGTGTGACATGTTCGTCGTTCATTGGCTGTTCATTTTGGTATAAACAAAATATATAAACAAAGGTTCAGATATAGCTAGAGTAGTTTTGTTTTAACATGTACCTTTGTTTCCCCATTTTCCCAAATGAACACATCTTTTTTATTATATAAAAATAACAATAACCACAGCTTTAATGACTCTACACATGCCATTAAAATAATGCATTCTTCCGCCACTCAACTAATGACACCTCAACATTTAGAAGCTGCTAAAAAGCTATCTGTCCAAGAGTTAAATGTTTTTTACCCAGATACACATAAGGTAAATATATTAACTTCTTTCTTTAATATCTTTATTATTCGTATTTTACCATATAATCTTACAAATTATTTAAATTAAATTTCACTTTATTCTTCTCTTATCACTATATATTTTATAATTGTTTTTGCTATATTAACAAATTTCTTTAAATATGTTTTAGGACACTCCCATTTTATGCAGAGCAGCTATTACGCAGTTTGACACACGTAACGGCTGGTGGTATAAAGCATGCCCATCTTGCTTTAAACAACTTAGAACTACTGCCCACCATGATGAACTTTTGTGCCCAAAACACAATAATCAAATTCCTCTCCCTTGGTAATACAAATCTCAACGATTAGTTTCATTTTATTTTTCCATAAAGTTTAAACACAATTATTTTAAATTATTAAAACATTACATAAATTTTACATACAGGTTCAAAGTGAGCTTAGTGCTTGAAGATTCAACTGACAAAACCAATGCAATCATAATTGGAAGAGCAGTAGAACAATTGTTTAGAATTTCTTGCAATGAATTGGTTGTTCAAAGAGGTTTTACCGACCAACAACAATTGCCAGATGCAATTCTGCAAACAAGAGGACAATTCAAAAAAATTCAACTTCGATTTGGGAGCATGAGAAGTGATTCCAATAGAAATGATCTACTCATTCAAGCAATCTTCGACGACACAATGCCACTTCTTGAACCAACATCGCAATCATCTAACAAAAGTTTGGCTACACATGACAAAGAAAACATTGCTACCCAAATGGTTCCACCCATTACCCCGTTTCTCTCAAAGCAAATTCCAAGTGCATCTTCCACAAGCTCAGCTAATGCTTCTATAACAGAGGTTACCCCAATTTTTTATATATAAAGACGCTGTCAAAAGAGCTCTATTTACCTTTCGCCCATAAAAATAAATAAAAAAAACCAAAAAGGTTAGAATTTATACAACAATTAACTCCTTTATATAAATATTTACCCATTTTCTAACATTTACCAATATATTCTTTTTCTTCCATTTAGCATTTCTCTAAGTCATGTTTGAACCAAAAACAAATCTGAAGAAATTGTTGCTACAAAAAGCATAAAGGAAATTGTATCAGATTCTGATTTATCAATCATTAGCTTAAAGAAGAAAACAAGCGAAGACAGTTTGGCAACTAGTTCTCCTACCCCGAGATTAGAGTTTGTATTCTCTCTTTTACAATTCACTCATCTCATTTAAATACATATTACATGCATAATATTCAATTATTCATATCTTCATTCTTCACTCAACCTTTATATACTAAATTGCAACAAATTGTGTTGAATTTAACAAAATCATCATTTTTGTGATATTTTGATTGATGCTTTGTTTTAATATTGTGTTCCTTTGAATTAAGGTATTATAAGATTATCTGTACTTATTATATAGGTCTAAAAACCATTTAAACCACTATTGAATTACGTATAAATGAAATTTTTTGCATGTTGAATGTTGGGGAATACTATTAAATTGTTATATTCACAGGTGAATTTTTTTAGGAAATGTCTGTTTTTCAGGGGAGGCTCTGCCCCTTTTTTAGCATAAATGTGAAACCCTTAAGTAATTTTAACTTTAAATAAGGGCAGAATACATCTTAGTCATATGTACCTAACACATAAAAGAATTAAAAGCTTAAACATTATATTTACATCATTTTCTTCAATTTTTCTTCAATATATCCAACCATAATTATTTTACCTCTTTTCAACTTTTCCTTTAGATGAACACAGAATTTAAAATATGTTTACTTTGTGTTACTTTAATTGAAAAACCATCTACAACTTGCTCATCAGTTCTCTCACTCCAATATTAAAGTTTATATTCTCTCTTTTACAATTTACTAATCTCATTAAAATACATATTACATACATAATATTTAATTATTCATATCTTAAAAGAAAAGAAAAACATTGCGTTCTTATTTAATTTCGTTACTTTGTGTTTCTTCGATAGGAAAACCATTTATAACTTTCTTATTAAATTATATTATTCTTGTTTATACATAATTAGATGTTTATGATTATTGTCCTAACTCAATTTTCCCCATTCATCAACATTAACACTTGCTATTTTCCCACTTTTTTATAATAGGGTCAAGACCTCCATCAAAGAAAAGAAAAGTCATGAAGAAATTGCCAAACAAAACCCACCTAATTAAACAACATGTTGCTCAAAACTATCCAAATTATGCTATTTTGATAGCTGTTTCTCACTATTAACATCTCAATGTATATACAAACATGTCTACTATTTTAACATAACAAGCAGCCTGTAAAATATGTTATTACTTCCTCTTTTTTGCCGCTTATACTTCCTTAGTTAAGCATAATGCTACAAGTTAAATCTCATTGTATATATAAACAATCTTATTTTGTCAACATAATTTCAAAACCCGCAACATCACATGGGCTTTTTTGTTAGTTAGTCTCTAAGCTTGTTCTATCCATCTTTGATAAGCACCTATTTATAGGCTTACAACTATAAGTATTTAACCCACAAATTATAACTACTAATTACAATAATAAGAGTATAAGTTACAAACATGAAAATGTGAAAATAATGGGTGTTATGGTGGTCATCCACATTTCCATATATTTATAACACTC